ATTATTCTACAAAAGTGTAATGCTGCTTGTGTATGCCGATGATATTGATATCATTGGCCTAAACACCCGCATCGTCGGTGCGGCATATTTCAATTTAGAAAAAGGGGTACGTTCTGTCAACAAACAAATCTCATGAGCATCTTGGGATCCACGCCACTCTTGACAATTATAAATAAGTTCGAAATTGTGAAAGACTTTGTTTAATTAGGCACCAGCTTAAACACCAAAAACGACGTTAGTCTAGCGATTCAACGAAGAATCACTTTTGCCAACAGATGTTACTTCGGGCTAAGTAGCTAAGTAATTAAGAAATAAAGCCCTCTCTCGATAAACAAAAATCACGCTGTATAAATCTCTTATCTATTGCCTGTCCTGCTGTATGATACAGAAGCTTGGACAATCACCAACAGTGATGAGAAGGTATAAGAAGCATTCGAGAGAAAAATTCTTCGGAAGATCTATAGTCCCTTACACGTTGGCGACGAGTATTGAATTAGATGGAACGATGAGCTGTATGAGCTATACCGCGATATTGATGTAGTTAAACGCATAAAAACTCAAAATTCAGAAAGGTGTTTGATTCGGTACCCGCAGGTGGAAAATGCGGTAGAGGACATCCGCATCTTCGGTAGAAGCAACAGGTGACCAACGATTTAAGGGCGCTTGATACTAACAACTGACGACAGCAAGCAACTAATCGGGCTGGATGGCGGAGGCTACTCGATGCGGCCAAGGACGACTCACGTCTGTAATGGCCAACTAAGTAAGTAATTAAGGTAGGTTGTACTGATTGACGAAAAATCGGTTTGTATATACACAACTTTTTTCATATAAAATATGTCTTCTATTTCCACGTGGCAAGGTTTAGGTTTAGTTAGGTAAGGTTAGGTTAGGTTTGGAAGGCGCGTGTTGACCGTTGTCAGCACTTCCACTCGGAGGCATATATTGCCCATTGTGATGTCCTCAAAAATTTTGCCGGGAGAGGCGAGTTGCTTACCTTTGTAATCCTTGTTAAACCATTTGGTTTTCCAAATGAAGTTGAGGAGTTCCGATAAGTTTGCTTTTGTTATCTCTTCCAAGCCAGTAAAATAAGGATCCCCAAGACGTTAAAGTAGCCTTGTTTGAAGTCCTTGACAGAGACGCAGAAAGTGGTTGATAGATTTTACCTCCTCTTCATCTTAGCAACTGCTGCATAATCCACTTGTTGGAATTCGCCACCGTTGGAGAATAGGTGCAATGGCACAGTGCCCCGTTAGTACTTCAGTAAGCACACGAACTGCAGGTTTGCTGAAGCCTAAAAAGCTTTTCGTTTTAACTTTGTTCAACTTAGGCCATAAGGTTCTAGTGACCTCACAGTCTTCACGGTTAGATCATAAATTGATTTCCTCTATCATCCTAAACAGTTCACATATTGGTGTTCGTATTGTGAGGTCAGTCTCTCCTGTATGCACTTCAGAACCTCTTCTGGCCATCTCATCTGCTAGTTCATTCCCTTCAATATTGCTATGTCCAGAAACCCAGCAAAGAGAGACCTTGTGATATGATGCTCATCAGTGACGTACGATATTTCAATACAATCTGGGATTTAACTGTTTTGGATTCAATTGCTTTCAGCGCAGCCTGACTATCTACAAAAATCATGATATTCGAGGGATGAATTGTACTTTGTTGTATAAGGTTGGCCGTTTTTTCAATAGCATATATCTCGGTATGAAAGAAGCTGCAAGTGTCAGGGAGTCGGTAGGACTGCCTCATCTGCATATCTTTCGAGAAGATACCTGCTCCTGCCGCCCTCCATCTTTGAGGCTTCTTTGTAGATGGTTACTGCAGAGTTACCTGTTACACATTCAAGCTCCTAGCTATCTCTGGTTGGATAAAGAATGGGAATTCTGGTCTTGAAATCTAGTATTGGTGTCATATAGTCTGTAGCAGAGTCCAGGTCCGCTTTGACTGAGCCATAATCTCTCCTTCTAATCTCCTTCAAAATTGTACGGTGTCCGTAGTTAGCTGGTTTCCACATCTTAGACTCCTGAAGCCTAAGAGCACTTTTGGCAGCACAGCCTTGAATAAACACCCACAGTGGTAGGAGATGTAGTATAACATTTAGACCCTCTTACGGCCTACTGTTGATTGCTCCGGTGATAACAAGCCAATCTCTGTGTTTTTCAATTCAGGCTAGATTGCATTTTTTGTCCAACGCCTGTCACCAGACGAGAGACCCATAGGTAATAATAGGCCTGATGATCGTCGTGTACATTCCGTATACTACGTACGGTGACAATCCCCATCGCTTCCCAAATGTCTTTTTGTATCTATCTTTAATATTCATTTTCCAATTTAGTTTGGAATCAAGGACAACACCAAGATATTTGGCTTCCGAGGAAAGATTCAGTATAATTCCATCTAGTCTGGGTAAGGTGAAAGTAGGTATTTTTGTTTTCCGTACGAACAGGACAAATTCTGTCTTAGTAGGATTAACTCCTAAACCATTACTTTTAGCCCACCTGGAGATTTCACCAAGTGCCGATTTCATTCAATCTAGTCTGGGTAAGGTGAAAGTAGGTATTTTTGTTTTCCCGTACGAACAGGACAAATTCTGTCTTAGTAGGATTAACTCCTAAACCATTACTTTTAGCCCACCTGGAGATTTCACCAAGTGCCGATTTTATGAGCTCACTAATCGTTGACAAGTATTTGCCTGAGATTAACATGGCAACGTCATCGGCGTAGGCGACAACCTTTGTTCTCCTAGCCCTGAAGATTTGCAAGATTTTGTTAACTACCAAGAGCCAGAGAAGGGGTGATAATACTCCTCCCTGTGGGGTGCCCCTCGTGACCATGCTCCTGGTCACGAAACCCGTTCCCATATTAGCGTTGATGGCCTTGCTTTCAAGCATTTTGCCAATCTATGCTATTATGAAATTCTTGACTCCATTCTTTCTAAGCGCCTCTCGGATCGCGTTCGTATATATGTTATTGAAAGCTCTCTCAATATCAAGGAATCCAGCCAGGGTGTACTTCTTTAGTTCGAGAGATCTTTCAATAGTGCCAACCACTTTGTGGAGAGCACTTTCTACCGACATACTCTTATACGGCGTTTACATTGGCCGAAAGTGGCTCATTTTGGTCAAAAATCGAAAATGAGTATCGAATGGCTCATTCTTGCATATAAAATTTCAAGCACAAAAATGAGCAATTTTCTCACATTCTGTATGAATGAAGTTCGAATGCATTCCACATACGTTCCAAATGCAAAGGAATCCATTGAACATACCCTAAATGAAAGCTCTTCATGGCATTTTGACAGTTTGAAAAAGCTGTTTTTAACATATTTACAAAAAAAGGTAAACAAATGTTTGGTGGTTGCATTTTCTTGAAAACGATGCACTGCTTTTTAGAACTTTTACTTCCCAAAAAGTAATTAATCGAAGTTAAAAATATGTTTTAAGTTTCTAATGTAAGGTTTGAAGGCATATTTAACCTTCATGCAACATTTTTTTGGCCTGTGCCAACATGCAACTTGAAAAATCAGCTGTTGAAATGAGAACAAATGAAATAGAACGAATGTAAACACTTTCAAATGGCTCATTCAAAATGAGCCATTTTCGGCCAATGTAAACGCCATATTACGGTATGCGTGTTGTGCCATGTCCTTCGTGCGGATACTGGTTTTTCCTCTAATATGGAAGTCAATAAGTCTCTCCAGTGTTTTCAAAATAAATGAGGAGAGTCTAATTGGTCTGCAATCCTTTGCAGTAGAGTGATTTAGCTTTCCCGCTTTTGGAATAAAAACCACCCCTCCAAGCTTTAGGTACATATCCATCTCTTAAGCATTTTGAAAAGATGCTTACTAGATGAGGAACCACGCTTTCAGCAGACTGTTGCAACATGGTAGGTATAGTTCCATCTGGTCCCGACGATGTGTAAGGATCAAGTAGGTTAATACCCCAGGTATCTTTATCTCTGCTAATAATATTTACGACGTCATTCCTAGCTACTTAAAAAGGATTTAACTGTGAATCAACTGTGAATTAACTGTGAGTCGATGCAGCCAGGGAAGTGTGTCAACATTAGAATATTAAGGGATTTACGACTCGAGTCTGTCAATGAGCCGTCTGGCTTTTTAATACTGCTTAGTGTTGTTGAGTCTCCAGATAGTATTTTTAGTAGCCTTGATGCTTAATTTACAGTCCCAATAGCTCCGCAGAACTGTTGTCAGGAATTCCTCTTTGTAGTTTTAATTCTGCTTTTGTACATATTAAAACTAGCTTTATAGAAGTTCCAATCCTCTTCTTTCTGGTTGCTTTTTGCCTTGTTGAAAAGTTTTCTGGATGTAGTTCTCAACAGCCTCAACTCAGCACTCCACCAAACCGGTTGAGGTTTGGTTTTTGGCCTAGTTAGGTGGCAAGCTGATTCAAAAGATTTATTCAAGATACCCGTAACGCGACCGACCGCTTTATCAATGTTTGCATTCCCTTGGCCAATTTTGACGTTTGTCTGAATTAACTTTTGGCTCGCAAGTCAGCATTTTTGGGATTTCTGTATGGTTTAGGACTCCTAACTTCTAGATTGATTTTGAAGTGTATCCGACAATGATCCGAAAAGGAGTGCATGTCTGATACCCTCCAATTATCTACCTTAAAGTAATTAGAGTCAGTGATCACTGTAATATCAATAATTTCTTCCCTAATCCTATTTCGAAATGTTGGCTTATTGCATAAAGTTAGATTAGTAGAAAGAATAAAATCAAAAACGGACTTAACCCCACTGTTGGTATCACTGCTACCGCAGAGCTCGTGATGTCCATTTGCATAACAGCCAGCTACCAGAGACAGTCCTCGTGATTCTGCATAAGCAGTTAGGGCTCGAAAGACTGCTGGTGGTGGTTCTTCTTCGTCGTACGGAAAGTATGCGGACGTCAGCAGCTGGGCCTATGTCTTTGTTACGTTTAGTTAAGAATTAAGAATACTAAAACCAGTATGGACCTATGACATTCAACTATGGAAACAGTCTCAACATCTAACATCGAAATTCTCCAAAGTTTTAAGTCTAAAACTCTACGAGAAATTGTGAACGCTCCATGGTATGTAACCAACATCTAAATCCACCGGGGTCTTAGGATAATTCCGGTAAAAGATGAAGTAAAAAAGGTAGCCAGAAAATAGCATGAAAGAATACAAATTCATTTCAACATTCTTGTTTCCAGTTTGATGTTCCCCTCAAAAATTTTTGCGAGGCTGAAAAGAAAATGCCCTGTCAGATGTTAAAATAAAAACTTCATTAAAAAAAAAAAAGAAAAGAGAAGGTCTTGACAGGAAGAAGTACCTAAATTTTAAATTATCAGGTCTTAAATCTCATTTATCAAAAAAATTGTAAAATGTCACAATATTATTTGACAGAATATGTTACATATTAAATTTAAATTAAATGAAAAGAAAAAAAAAATAAAAATACTCGAAACAGCTGTATGGTCAGCCAAAAATTCAATTAATTAAAATAATAAAAAAAAATAAATTTTTTCTTGTTGTAGTTCACTACTGTTCGAAAAAACCTATTTATAAAAACAAAAATTTAAATTTTTTTTGTGTTATTGGGCAAGGGTGACTATTCTTCAAGGCAAAAGATTGTAGTGCAAAAAAATATTATTTGCATGGATTTAAATAAATTAATTAATTAAATTATAATCCACTTAATTTAAAGATTTAGAAATGGGAGAAAATTATCAGCTGTTAGCGAAATCGTCGTAAGTTTTTACGAAGTCGTCAACAATTAAACTAACATAAAAATATATTACAGTTGCCCACTTTATTTAAAAGGATATTTTAAACATTTAGTGAAGTCCTTTCAGGAACTCCCACATAAAATAGCGATTAGTGATTGTTAGCTTAAACCGAATAAATTTTAAAATAAAGCTGAAGAGTTTAATTTTTGCTAAGTTTCTTATAATACGTTCTGTGCGATTTTAAGTGCAAATAAAAATCTGACGTTGAACACAAGTGCAGCTGCTGAAGTAAACAATTTGTCCCTTGCTTATCCTCCATATTCCTTGGAAGGTCCGTTGCAACACGGTATGCTGTTATTTTCGAATAGTGGAATTCATGCCATGGTTGTATTTGACTGCTTCACTTAGCTTCCTGCACAAAGGCGCTAACCGCTGGCTGCATCGGTCTAGGTCCTGTTTGAGTGGTGCTCCGCAATGTGATAACATCAATTAATGTTTATCTCGCGCTCAAAATTTTAAAGAACCAGAAGTGCTTTTATTTTTTACCGCTTGTGTTTATGCATTTTCTGTTTTGTTCTCATGTTTTCTTTTTTTAATTAGAGTCCTTATTTATGAAACTTCTTTGTGAATGAATGAAAAGGAACGCAACAAGTTTTCGAATGCAGTGCACAACTGGAAAAAATAAAAACAAAAGAAATAAAATTTAAAATTTAATTGAAATTGTTTACACTGTAAAAAGAGTTAACATTTTACAGCTTTTCTGGTGCTTTGTCTTTTTTAGAACAATGCTGCTTTAGAACAATGCTGGAAACCTGAAGAGTTGCTGAAGGCGAAAGTGTTTCCTTTGGTGTTAGAAGCTCTAATTACTACAGAGTTTTCAAGATTTGAAACTGTACTAAGCCAGTTAAAAAACAAAAATGGAGATTACAGAGATAACTAACGAAAACACTTATCTAAAATTGCGCTGTTGATAATAACCAATTGCATGAATTGTTATTAGTAACGCCTCCGAAGTGAATTTATAATAATAACACGTTCAGAGTGTCTCACATAGGCAGTTTTGCTCATTAAGACGGTCATTCACAATAGAAATAGCTTTTATATAAATTAGCTTATTATGTATAAGTTAATTGATTTAAGGTAAAAATGTCAAATGCAATCCTTAAAAGTGCATTTCCTAAAGAATGCTCTGTTTCAAAGGATTCATTTTAAATGTGGAGTAAAGCATTTGAATTATTGAACCACCTCAAAGTTGGCTAGAATTTTTTTGGCATAAGATTTAATTTCTAAGACTATAGTTCAACGCGCCAAACAAAGCAGCAGGCACAAACCAACTACAGTATTGCCAACCGCAAAGTTAAACGCAGCGCTAGAGCCGATAAGCGCAGATGGCTCGACAATTTAGCAACAGAAGCCCAAAAAGCAAGCGAATCACATAGGCTCAAAGACCTACACAACATCACTAAAGCTATGGTGGGACGTAAACACAGGATTGCAAAGCCAATAAAAAATACCAGGGGCGAACTAGTACACTCTACCGAAGATCAGTTAAAAGTTTGGGAAGATCACTACAGAAATCTCCTAGCGGGAAACAACACCTATCCTCAGCAGGAACTATGTAGTAGACACCACGAACATGTTGCTCGCAACGATATAAACACAGATGTACCTAACATCAGTGAAATTGAGGCAGCAATAACTCAGCTTAAAGCAGGTAAGTCCGCTGGTCCGGACAATATTGCTCCCGAACTGCTCAAAGCAGACAAAAGTTCAGCTGCTCAAATTATTCAACCAATTGTCAACAACTTCTGGTCCCAAGAGTCATTACCGCCTAATCTTAAAGACGGCATCATTATTTATATACCAAAGAAAGGTAACCTGATGGAATGCTCCAACTGGAGAGGCATAACTTTACTAAATGTAGCTTATAAAGTTATTGCTCAAATCTTACATAAACGTTTAACTTCGGCCGTTGAGCCTACACTACGAGCCGAGCAAGCAGGATTTAGGCATAATCGATCATGTGCCGACCACATAAACAGCCTTCGAATAATAGTCGAACAGTCTAGCGAATGGCGATCTCCTCTATACTTGCTGTTTATCGACTTTAAACGTGCATTCGATACACTTCTCCATACCACGATCTGGTATGCATTAGAGTGTAAAGGTATACCGAGTAAATTAATAAATTTAGTAAAAGGCTTGTACTCTGACGCGCACTGCTCAGTATTTCACGAAGGGCGTCTCAGCGGGCAAATTCAAATTAAGTCTGGCGTCCGATAAGGTTGCATTCTTTCACCTATACTATTTAATATAGTCTTAGATGTGGTTATGTCGGAAGCTATGAGCACAAATCATGGCATCTCATTCGGCCTTCATAACAAACTTACTGACCTCGATTACGCTGATGACATCTGTTTACTAACGCATAACTTTTCCCAGATGCAAATATCGTTAAACAACATCGCAAAGCGTGCACTGGCAGCTGGTCTGTCAATCAATATCAACAAAACCAAGTCTATGCGTCTCAATTCAAACTGCTTAACGAAGTTTCAACTAGATGGCTCCTACATCGAAGATGTACAAAGTTTCTGCTATCTGGGAAGCTACATTTCGAACAACGGCGGCAGTCGGCAAGACATACAGTACAGGCTATCGAAAGCGAAGCAAGCGTTTGGAACCCTTAGCAAAATCTGGCGTTCATCCAACATCACACAACGCACTAAGATACACCTGTACAATGCAAACGTAAAATCAACTTTACTATATGGTAGTGAGAGTTGGAACCTAACGGCAAGAGACGCACAACAGCTACAAGCCTTTGTCAATCGTTGTCTACGACGCATCCTTCATGTATTCTGGCCAGCAACCATAACCAATAATGAGCTCTGGTTTAGAACGAATCAGCCTCTTATAACTGATGAAATAATGATGCGCAAATACAAATGGCTTGGCCATACGTTAAGAAAACCCGCTGATGATATCGCAAGAAATGTCTTAGATTTCAACCCTCAAGGCAGTAGAAGACCAGGGCGTCTGCGCAACACTTGGAAACGACAAACTGAAGCCGAATCAAGAAATGCTGGAAAGAGCTGGAGTGAAACTAAACGTCTTGCATTAGATAGAGTTCAATGGAAACTATTTGTTACAGCCCTCTGTTCCACCTAGGAATAAAAGGATTAAATAAAAAAAATAAAATAGTTCAACTCCATATATACAAACAATAATAGTCGTTTATGGTTCTGTATCAGATTTCATGGACGGCGGTATTCTAATATATACCATTTTATAACAAGTTCGCTTTTCCGTATGTACCTGTATGTACGAATTGTTTAGGGCCGTTAATGACGACAATTCACTATACAAAAAGGTTTCATATAAATCACCTCATTATAAAATCAACTGATTTGAGACGAAAAACATCGAATGCAACCCTTAAAAATAAATTATAGCACATGCACATTGTCTCATTTAGGCGGTTTTGCTGATTATAACCACTAGTGAGGATGAATTACAATACAAAAAGATTTCATATAAATAAAACAGTTAAAAATAAATATGTTACGAGGTAAATGACAATTTGAAGCATATGTCATATATTTTATATATAAAATGAAAATAAATAAAAGTTGGACTGTAAAATAAAAAATAAAATAAATAAGAAAATAAAATAAATAAAAAATAAGTAATAAGAAAATAAGTATTTAATAATAGGTCTGTTCCAGGACCTACGCGTAGTAAAACTCAAGTAAAACACAAGTAAAGTACAAACTGAAAGCGTAACACAAATAAACTGTCAATTTACGCACTTTACACAGTATAGCTTTGTGCCAAATCTGGTGAGAACACCAGAGCCGCGCAAATAAACAATACAAAAATTTGAATTCAAACGAAAACAGCTGATTCACACATCACATAAATTTTCCTTGAAATAAAATGTACGAGTAAACTCTGTTTAGCATTTTCAAATTTGACAGGGCTGTTGCGCTCTCTCAGTTGCTCTCATTTAAGATTTGATATTAATTATGGTTAAATTCATTTGGAAAGATTCAATAAAGTAAATTATTAAAATGCATTGAACCTGTCTCTTTTTTTAAATACGCTCATGTTAATTTTACTCATTTTTTTTTTATTTATTTTTGTTAAGTTGTTACTAATCACTTCAATTTAAATGTTCATTTGTTTTAAATCAGGAAAGAAGAGTAGCGTGTTGCAGTTTCGGGAGGGGAGCCATTGGACTAAAAGTATTTCCATAGAGTTAATCCATACAGAAATTTGTTAAAAAGATTTCTGAGTCATTTCCCATACATGCCCATTTATCCCCCTTCCAGTGGTGGAGTTTAAACGACGACGCGATACGAAAGTCAAATACAGGTTGTAGCTACTTGCGATAGTCACACAACGTCGTTGGAAAACGCACTAATCGGTCTAAACGTGTAACCTTTAAAAAGTCACCTTCTTCTTCCTCCTCTTGATTAGCTAAGGAGGGTGACGAATGCTGCCTGCTGATATCTTCATCCTGCTGACGGTTTTAACATGTCAATTGTACGAGGGCTGCTATATATATTTCTGGCCTAGGCTTAGTGGCTTAGTGTTGCCAGGTGCAATCTGACATTTCCATTGGAAAGGTTGACAGTTTTCAGCATAACATCATTCAGAATGTGTTGTCATTTAATTGTGAATTGTTTTATTTACAAAGACTTGAAAAATTCATCTCGGCCAAAAATTGGAAAAAACATGTTTTTTACAACTTTCGACGTGGATTATCACGACAAGAGTGCATTGATGAACTAAAACCTTTGTATGGCGATAAAGCAGCATCCTATAGCACTGTGAAAAACTGGTTTAATGAATTCAATCGTGGCCGACGCTCGCTCAACGACGTATTCCGTGAAGGTCGGCCAAAAACGGCCGTTGTGCCAGAGTACATTGATGCCGTGGGTGAACTGATAATGCAAGATTGTCATGTGACATAGCGTTAGATAGAGGCATCCTTGGGCATTTCACTCACCAGCATACATTCGATATTGCATGAACACCTGGCCGTAAAAAAGGTTTGTTCTTATTGGATTCCGCACAATTTGACAATCGCTCAAAAAAAGGCTTGTGTCCATTTGTGCAAAGAAATGTTGAAAAAATACATTCGCGGTGCTTTAAAAGACATTTATAAGATCGTCACAGGTGACGAATCATGGATCTATGCGTATGAGCCCGAAACAAAACAACTATCGACCGTGTGGGTCTTCGAAGATGAACCAAATTCAACGAAACTTGTTCGTGGAAAAAGCAATTCGGAGCAAATGTTCGCCTGTTTCTTCGGTAAAACTGGTTATGTGGCGACTGTGACTGTTCCGCTTGAGCAACGAAAGTTTTATTTGCCTGAAGTCTTTGGAGAAATTCGAAAAACGAACAAGAGAAGACGAAACATTGTTCACCATGACAACGCGAGCTCTCATACATCGGCTCAAATCAGTACCTTTTTGAACGGCCAAAAACGTCGAATTAACGGAAAAAAACGTCGAAAAACGCCGTACAGTCCTGACTTGGCACCCAATGACTTCTTTTTATTCCCGCACATCAAGAAAAAAATGCGTGGTCAACGATTTTCGTCGCCAGAAGATGCCAGAAGAAGCGTTCAAAAACCATGTTTTAGAGGTATCTCAATCGGAGTGGAAAAAATGCATCGCGAATTGGTTTCAGCGCATGCAAGAGTATATAAATCAGGCTGGAAAATATTTTGAAAAACAATAAATAATATTTTGATGATAAATATTCGCATTTTCATTATTAGGTCAGAAATATATACAGCAGCCCTCGTAAGAGTGCATCTGCTCCCATTCTTATTAATCACGAAATTCTGGATGCTGCTCATGTCTGCTACCGTTCTTAGTCTTTAGTTGAACCACGGTTTTACGTAATGTTGAAACGAAAATTGTTTTCACTTGGTTTTTGGTTTTTGTGACAATATTTATCTTGGTACATCTTGGATATCAGTAGAGAATTCTAGTTGCCTAGCACGTCGCAACGATGTTTTCTTGCTGTTCTGTCTGAACACAAATGTAAGTGGTTTATGGTCAATCAAAATGATAAATTCACGTCTTTCGAAGGAATACTTGAAATGTTGGATGGCTTGGGCGATGGCGGTGGTGAGGTCTCTATCGTACGCGCTTCATTTAAACTGTGCTGTATTCAACGCCTTTGAATAGAATGCTAAAGGTTGAGTCTTACCCTCTACAATCTGCTGCAGGACGGCGCCGACTGCTGTATCGGAAGCATCGGTGATCAGCCTTAATCGTGAATTCGGCGCCATTAAGTTGAGTAACGTAGCATGCGCTAAATCTGCTTTAAAAGCCTCAAATGCGGTAATTACTTCTGGTTTCCAGATGATTTTGGAATTGTCGTTTTTGCGATTTCTTGCAGTAAGATTGAATAAACGTCGCTAGTTGCAGACGGCGTTGCATAGAAATGGTCGATAAAAGTTAATCATTCTCAGAAAACATCTTACAACCTTCACCGTTGGTGGCAGTGGAAAATCAAATATTGCAGCTACTTTGCTTTTGGGCGACTTGGAACCGTGCGTGCTGATGGTGTGATCCAGAAAATCGATCTCGCTGCGACCAAATTCGCATTTGGCAAAATTTACTGTCAGACCAGCTTGCCAAAGTCATTCGAAAACCATTTGAAGATGTACTTAATGTTCGGAAGCGTGTTTAGTTGCAATCAGTATGTCGTCGATGTACGCAAAAACGAAGTTTAGCCCAGCCAAAGTTGCATTGATAATTCGTTGGAATGTTTGGGCTGCGTTTCGTAGGCTAAACGTCATGAAACGGAATTCTAACAAATTAAAATGAGTAGTGATCGTATGATCGCTTTAGACCGTACTTCTTCGGCAGTACCGACAGATCCGCTCCCGTGTCAATGAGATATGAAATTGACGTTGCCAGATCTTCAATAGTAAGTCGAACTATTATAGCGGTGTCCACTAACCGGCTCGACGTCGATTGAGACGTGCTCAGTTTTCCATTTTAAAAGTTTTATTTCATAATATACCGACATTTTTGTCTGGATTTCATTTGTGACAAAAAGAAATTTCTTCAAAAGCTTTTTTGACAGCTACATAAATGATCTCATTATAATGTGTACCTTTCCTTATTACTATAAATGAGCAAGTGCATGAATGAGACAGTGTGTTATTAAAATTTAATATATATGTTATATGTTTTATATGTAAAAAGTAAAGAAACAAGCTATTTCACATGCAAAAATCAGCTTTTGCCAATGGAAATAACCAAATTTTAATCTCATTAACATAAGTTATTTAAGCTGCAGTGGAAACTTAATATAACATTTATGTTTACATACGAGTATATTTTGTATCCACTGCTTTTGTATGTCAAACGAAAATATATGAAAATACAACTCTGCACTTAGTTTCGTTAATTTTCGTTAAGTTTATATCAAATTATGATTTTATGTTCTTCAAACAATAAGAATATTTTTACTCTCAGAATTTCTGCAATAAGGAGATTGAGAGAGAGTTTGAAGGCAGCAGCCACTTGTACAGTACCTATAACTTCAGAAAATGAGCAGTTAATAAACATTAACTTTAGTGGTGTGGAATGCGTGTTACTTATCCCGATAATTAAAATAATTTACTTGTAATCTCACAGAGTAAACATAATAACGTTTGTATCATCAGCAACGATTAAAGTTCTTACAAAAACTGAGTAAACTTTGAAGTTAAGATATTCTTTAATTTGTTCTTATATAAAAAAAAAATAAATAATTTTCTATTCACTAATGTTTGTTAGTAAAATTTTGACAATTTTTTTTTTAAAATATTTAATTAAACAAAATTCGCACAATCTAGAAAATAAGTGATTTATAGCAAAATTTAATAAAATTATTAGTTTGTTTTTCATTATAAAATATTATTGTATAAGAGTAAACTTTTTCTAATCATGTCTACGAGAGGAAGCGGTAGACTTACTAAAGAGATTTCCATTTACAATTATCCAGAACATTTAAATCCTTTTTATAAAGATGATCAACATTGGCGCTTGAGATCTTGGGCATTAAAAAAACTTGGTCTTGCTCCGAAGAGTGGTTCCTCTGATACTAGGCTAACCGGGTATGTTTTTTTCATGCGTATATATATTCATTTATATTGATAAATATGGAATGGGAATTGAGAGTGAGAGAGAGACTTATAAGACAAAGTCAATAATATCATTTTATAAACATTTTAAAATATTTTTTTTTTTGATTTTTTAAAAATCCATCAAAACTTAATTACGATACTTTACTTATGCTAAATTTTGACTTACAAATGATAAATTAGAAACGTCTGATAATATGAGTACTTTCCAAACGATCGACTTCGCAGTTAGATAGCGTTCATCATTGTGGTTAAAAATTAATTAGTTCTTAATAATATTATTAAATGCTAGATAAGATGTCAGCGTATAAGTAACAAGTTTGCATTGATGAAACTGTAAACGCTGACATATTTAAATCCAAACCATACAGTCCAAACTCACTCTTTCGCTAGAGTGAGAGTTGTAATCTTGATTTATGGTTATTATGGAAAGGCGGATGGCGAGAGACAGTGAACCTTGCAAGCAATGGGAAGCACATAAGTTTTCTTGGAGAGTGTTACCACGCTCTCGCTAGAACAAAAAACTGAAATAGCATATGCAATTTTGCAGTTGTAGGAGAAAAAAGAAAGAATATTTTTGTTTATTTATTTTTTTATTGACTTCTACAAAAAATGATGGTGATAGAGCTCCACAGTCTTGCAACTCCAGTCTATTGAGTTTAATCAGTAACTGGAGGTCTCGACACCAAAATGATAAGAAGAAAGATAATGAAAGATTTACATATATGTGTTATACATAAAGAATTTTTATTCTAATCAAATGTTTAAAACTGGATAAATTATGTACTCGAACCTTGGATATATATAATAATATATATAAAAAGTGTTGATAGTATTAAACAAATACTACTTTAAAAACAACCAAAATGTATATGTCTATGTATTAAAAGTGTACCAAGATACACTGCGAAAATATAAATCTATTCAAAATAAACTGAAAATGATAAATATAAAAATTAGTAACGAACTATAGCTATATTGTACTTTTATAATTATCCTGTTGTTCTATTACCTTGTTACTCTTGACATTCTCGAGTTGAAAGTAATACTAAATACTAAATTTAAAATTCGTACTAAATATGTTGATATATTTGGCATTGATTAGCAAATGTAGCACTATGTCACGTGACGAAAGCATGGTTTACTTTGACCTTAGAACCGTATTTTAAGGTAAAGCATGAATTTTTGTTTCTATCCTATGTAGTGTTTAGTGCTAATTAATATTATTAATAATTATAATAATAGAACTTTGCTATTAGAAGAAAAGGGAAAATGATATAAACCTAAGCAATAAGACGAAACCATTTTTGGTCAATTTGTAGACCTGTGTAAAATAGAATAGTTTCAGCTAAGCAGTAGACTTACAACTCAAAAACAAAAAGCAGTTTTACCCAACCCACTTTTGCCACAAATAGTAGTTTGGCTTAGATATGAAATCCCTCCATAAGATAAAGCAGTTTGGACAACTTTGTAGTATTGTCAAGGTCTACAGCACCTCCATAAGTTGAGTCTGTTTGGGCATAGATTCTATTACAAATAGACTTTTGTTCCTAATATATTTACCTCCATCACTAGAAGAAGTAAAGTAAAAATGTTTTAATGGACAGCTGATGTCGTATTATTTGTAAATTGATGCATGCGACTTATATCCGAGATGTGTTGCGTTGGACCTAATGTACACGACTCTTCAATTTCTTGTGATATTTTTTAGTCAACTTAAATTACTCTATTAGGAAACTATTGAATTGTATACACACTATTCAATTAATTAATTATTCAATTTATATTAAATATATTTACAAGTATTTTAATGGAAAAGAAAAGTACTTTCAAATACATTTTCCTCCAATATATTTTTTCATAGTAAGCGGTCATCAACTTTGGGAATTAATAAAACCTCAGAAAGTCCACCAGAAAGCCCAAGACGTGACGTTGAAGAAACTAAAATAGAATCGTTCCGTAGTACCAACACTGATACTAATTCTCGAAGTATGTCCGGAGGTGCAGAGGTAATTATGTTTAATTGTTATGAAGGTGCTTTTTAAAATTGATTATTGATTTAAAATGATGGACTCCAAATAACTGCAACCAAAAAAAATTGTTGATATTAAAAAAAATATTTTCGGATAAATAAATTAAATTCAATCACAACTTTTAAGGACATCACACCAAAAGATTGGCTTGGATTACAACATGATAAAAGCTTAGTTGGTACAAAATCATCAACTTCAATGCAAGTCAGAAAACGGTCGTTGGGAAGGTGAGACCTTATTTGTGTTTTGGTTTAGTTTTGATTAATTTCTCATTAATTTGTACTGTCCTTATACAAATTTCAGCTATACTTAAAAAAAAAATTATTTTATATACAAGTATTCATGTTTTTAGTTATTTATATTTTTCAGACATAAACTGTATAATATCAACACATTATTACTGTATTCTCGACGTTATTTACTGATAATTTAATTAATCGATAATAATTATAGTAATGATTTATTGTAATAATAATAATTTTTTTAATTTAATGTACCAATCTGTGCTTTCAAGCAGAAAGTCAACTAATCCATTTGAATCGGACGATGAAGCAACGAGCCAGGAGATCTGCGCATCTTCATCGGATATATCTCCGTTAATTATGAATAGATCAAATACTGGACAGCTAACCGATTCAAAATTTGACATGGTAAATATATTATTTATCTACTCATAATACTTTTTTCGTTTAAAATCGATGCTAATCGATCAATTATAACATATCTATCAATTAATAAGAATAAAATATCTATCAATAGAACAAGCTTAAAAAGAGCTGAAAAGTTTTAATGGAATATATTATATTAATAATATATATAATTTATTTTCAGAATCCTGTAGCAGAAAATTCACGAATTCCTAAAATTTTGTTGCAACAACTTCGTTCAGTTAACGTAAATCATGGAAATGATAGTGGCATTGTCATGAAAAAAGCATCCGATTGTAGTCAGTTTTATGAAAAAGAAAATATGTTATGCACAAATCTTATGGAAGCAGAACGCAATGGAGTTGGTGGAGATATAGCAGCCGGTGTAGTACCAAAAAAATCGGGAAAATGCGATTGTGACATATTATCAAATTCTGTGGCTATGAAAACTGATGAGAACAACATATCAGTGAAGAAAGGTGTCACAGTTAAAGAACTATCTTTCTTGGCAAAAATCAGGAGAACTTTTACAAGATCTCATTACCAAAAGTCTAAAAGTATTTCACAAACAGTGAATACTGAATCTAAAATTGAAGAAAATCCTCACTTTGAAGTACAATTTGAAGACGCAGATTCAGCACAAGAAGTAATTGAAGCATCTGAATCAAATAGTGGACGAGGCCTAAAAACTGTTGACATTCTGGAAAAAGCTGCCAATATTATAAAAATATCAAATAGAATTAAAAGAATGAATTCGAAATTTAAAAATGTTGGAACTGAAGACCTCAATAAACTTCGAATAGTGGAAGATGGAGAAGAAGATCTATTAAATAATCTTCGCATAGTAGAAGATGAAGGAGAAGATTTATTAAATGCAAGATTTAAAGAACAACAAACTTTTGATAAATTGGTAGCAAAACATGACGCAGTATCTAAACACCCCAATAATTTACGTATAGTAGAGGATATAGAAAAAGATTTAACGAATAAAGCTGGTTCCAGGATGATTAGAGAACAACAATTGTTAAACAGTTTGTCATCAATATATAGACCAGGAACTGAACACCTCATTCAGCTGCGTATCGTAGAACCTGGAGAAGAAAAACTACTAAATGCAGCAGATTTCAGGTTTAAGGAACAGCAACCACTTAATAAATTAGCAACAATACATAGACCAGGTGTAAGACCATTACTTTTTGGTCGCTTGAAACCAGTTAAAGTACCAGAAATTTTTAACGATACGATTGCTGAAAATAAAGTAGATAATGATTTTAATGAAAATAATAAATCGATCTGTTTGTTAACAAATCACATATCAGGAATAAACTCTTCTCTCTATGGACAAGTCAAAACCATAAACGCGTTTATACCAAAAATCAATGAATTTGTCACCACTGAGTCTAAAGGTGCTAAAATCTTCGATGAAATAAAAGAATCAAACAGGTTACTTGATTTTGCCAAGCAGAGGAAGAGCATAAAAAATTATGATGGCATGACATACAAACAAATCGAAGAAAAAGTTTGTAAAATAGGGGAAAAACGAAAGAGGTATTTCGATTTTGTCAGTGATCAGTGTAATCTGGGGTTATCTAAAAGATTTAAGTCATGCGAAGGCAATGTCCAATCCCATAATGAAGATTTTCTTAATACTTGCTCAGCTACAATCAGCAGACAAAAATCAATACTTAATGGATTTAAATATAAAGGCAGAAATATAACTGGCCAAATAACACCATTGGTAAAAGATAGATGTTTATGTTTACATTCAGAGGCAACCCCAAATCGAAACTCTACCAAACCTAACAAAAAACTAAATAAAGATATCTATGTGAATGACAAGTTAACTCACGACTATTACAATATATTACGTATAACTGAAGAAGGTGATTTGGTTGATAGTGGGTACGGTGGAAGTCCGAGCTTTGGTTCAAATGTAGTACGCATGCAGTCTGTAGATGGAGGCGGAAGCGACGAAAAGGAACGGCAGATTTCAGGGTTTAAGAGATTTAATTTTGACACAATTGACCTCTCTAAAAAAAATTGGCAATTTTCTACTCTGACAACTTTTCAAAAGTCTAGTGCACATCTCAATATGGTACAGGCAAAAGATAAGTATTTTAAAAGTCCGGTAAAAGGACAAAATAAGCAGGATATGGAAACAGAAGTTGATAAAATGACTAAAATATGTAGTAGTGACAGCAAGAAGTTATAAAGACTATAAGTCTTATGGCTACAGATAATGGTTGTTCTTTTTGTCTGTTGATGTGGATTTGACACATCTACCTGACGAATGATCAAAATTAATAACGCTTCAAACTTTCAATCGTTTTTTTTTATAATTAAAGAAATTTTTAATGAAATAGTTTTTTTCAAATACCTATTTCAGAAAAACAATCTAAGAACTAACAATTTTCTTGCTACATTTCGGAGTCTTAAATTCTTGGTGTTTGGTTTAAATATGGAAAGTCATTTGTGGTGTAATAATAATTTTTTTAGTTAGTATAAATACAAATAAATTTACTTTCCATAAAAAATGTTTGTTTTTTACTTTATTTAAATGAAAATTAAAAGAATTGGAAGGTACCCTTCAATCAAATATATATAGTATGTCTAGAGAAAGTGGAAAGAAATTATTGGAAATAGACCACGTCTACTGCTGTTAATCCCCTGAAAGTTATGCGGACTACGATTTTAAAATATTTATCTGAAATCTGTAAACCCTTTTAAGAACAGTTTCATCTGCTTAGATGGTTAAAGTCTTCGATTAGTGCAAAACTAATATTATCGTTTACTATGTCGAGTTGCGGCCCTACGCTCCACCTAGAAGTTAAAGGATTAAATATATAATATGCCGAGTAGATTATGCCAAAGCTTATGTTTAAAAGCGGTAATAAATGTTCGTTGGATGAAAAAGAATTAGCTATTTAAGATATTTAAGATATATAAGATAAAGGACAGAGCTCTGGAGCTATATGCGAAAACCGATAGGCTGCTCTATTTAGCACTATTTAATTTCAGAGTTATCACCAACCGCACGGGGCGGTACGCAGATCTTAGATCAATCATTGAATTATGACGAAGATTATGAGGAATACTCAAATTAGTCAGTGAGATGGGTGGGACTCTGTAGAAACCCCCCAGCCATCATAGAGTAAAAGTACCCTTAAAGTTCTTAAGTTATGAGTATTTCGAAGAATTCAGGAGTGGATTTTATGGACTATTTACAGAAAATCAAAATATATATCAGATATAATTAAAAATATATACACGTACTTTGTACTTTCAATGTATATCTGGCTTATTTCGACAATTATATTGGCACGACTGCTTATGAAAAGTAAGATGAGTCTACTAAATGGATCAACCCAGCTGCAACCTTCTCGTGTAGAAATGATAATCTAACAAGGCTACTACACTGTGTTAAGAATGAAGCACTGGAAGAAGAAAAAATAGGGGACCATATGTGCTATAGATGATCACTAATCATTTGCAACTTTATGTATAGTATAATTTGAAGTCTTTTATATATGCCAAACTGTAAAACTCTTTTAATAATTAATTTGTCATTGTCAAAAGCACCAACAGTATTCTTAAAGAGAAACTCCATAGTTGAATTTTGCAATATTTACTACTACTTACTTCTTCAAAGGCTTTTAAAATATACACTTGTTATAAACTTGAACTAAACCGAATTTAACCACAACGTAGTCATTAACTTAGCAAAGTTTGAGTAGAGAGTATGCGTATTACGTTCGTTTTTTGGTGCATAGTATATAGGTTTTTCACTGCCATAAAATGGGTCCATATGAACTCCTAAGAATACGAGCACATTTTTTTGCATATTTTTTCCACAAACATGGAAATTTATTGTGGAATATTTGCGGGTATACATATACCTGCATACTAGCACAGGACCACTTGTAATATTTGAAGAGGGAAAACGACGGTGACTCTTGTGCCTAATTGCTTCACAACCGAACTCAAATGGAACAGCCACTTGAACTCCTTATAACGCTTTTATCTCTTACTGCAATTTTTTCTGTAAAATGTGCTCAACAAACTGGTGTTCTCGTTGGACTGTTCACACAAACTGGGAAAAAATTATGAGAATCTCGCAAAAGTATTTTGCTTATTTTTATGAAAAATTGAATATATACATATAAATGTTCTGTGATGATTTGATAATAATATTGTGTTCAATGGATACAATGTAGCTCTAAAATTTGTTTTTAGTTAAACTTGCATTAAGTAAAAGTGACGCGAATCAGAAAAAAAATATGTAATTAATCTAAAATTTTAAATCCATTAAAACTAGTTTGAAGTCATTAACAACATCAAAAATTATTCCATCCATAAGCTTGAATCCGAACTTGAAACTTACCACCTACAACGGAATTTTAGGTATTTACGCTAAACCACATTAGGAAGTATAGCAGCTTTTCATACAAAGACTTCTGTCTGATTCTTATGGTAATCTTATATAGTAGATATATTTATATTTAAAACGATATAAACTAAACTTACTAAGTTTTTAAATAAGCTAACGGAACAAAAATGAAAAGTTTAGTTTTTAACAGCAAAAATGGTTTTATTTTTCAGTATAATCTTCCCAAACTTCATTTTATTTATTTCAACAAACGTCTAATATGGCGTTTACATTGGCCGAAAATGGCTCATTTTGAATGAGCCATTTGAAAGTGTTTACATTCGTTCTATTTCATTTGTTCTCATTTCAACAGCTGATTTTTCAACTTGCATGTTGATTTGATTTTTGGCCTGTGCCAAAAAAATGTTGCATGAAGGTTAAATATGCCTTCAAACCTTACATTAGAAACTTAAAACATATTTTTAACTTCGATTAATTACTTTTTGGGAAGTAAAAGTTCTAAAAAGCAGTGCATCGTTTTCAAGAAAATGCAACCACCAAACATTTGTTTACCTTTTTTTGTAAATATGTTAAAAACAGCTTTTTCAAACTGTCAAAATGCCATGAAGAGCTTTCATTTAGGGTATGTTCAATGGATTCCTTTGCATTTGGAACGTATGTGGAATGCATTCGAACGTCATTCATACAGAATGTGAGAAAATTGCTCATTTTTGTGCTTGAAATTTTATATGCAAGAATGAGCCATTCGATACTCATTTTCGATTTTTGACCAAAATGAGCCATTTTCGGCCAATGTAAACGCCGTATAACTAATGGGTTTTCTTTCCCAGATATGGACGTGTCAGTATTTTTTATTCACGAACTTAAATTCACTTATTTAAATTCACCTACTTCCCATTAATAGACTTCATATAGAGTTGGGCATATGAGTACTTTATTACTTACGGTTACGTATGTTCAAGGCATTATAGTAACGAAACTAGGATATTATAGTAATTGTTATTGAACAAGTTTTTGCGTACTGACAACAATAGAGTATATTTTGAGCAAAAGGATTTGAATATACAGGTCTTCCATATTGAGAATTAACAGATATTTTTTTCACAGCTTCTAATGAAAAGAGGTAAAATGTCAAAATTCTGGTGAACACAAATTATTTCTTAATACCATGTTTCCACTAGTCTCATTTAGACATTTATGCTTATTTAGGTCACTAATGAGAATAATCACCCTACTTTCATATAAACCATCTCATTATAAATAAATCAACTCATTTAAGAAGAAAAATGTCAAATACAACCCTTAAAAATAAATTTCTCGTAATGTTTTATATGATTGCAAATGTAAAAAAAAAAGCTATTTCACATGCATACATCAAGTAATGCCAATGGAAATGACCAAATCTTAATTTTATTAATATAAGTAGTTTTAGCTGCAGTGGAAAAATGATGTCTCTCATATTCCATTTCTATAAAGCTTTTCCGAAAGGTCTACAAAACAACGTTCAATCATGTAAAGTGATAAAAATCGTTTTCCACAAAAGAATTTTTTTGGGGTATAATACGAGTCAGAAAGAGCAAGAGAGTGAGCTAAATCTGGTTATTATAATATTTCGATCTTTACAATCTATATATCTATTACAATATAGTCATCTTTAAATGGTTCTTGAAGCTGAGTAAGATAAGAAGCTGAATAAGAAGATATTATTTTTAGTGGTGAAATAACAGGATGTAGATATTCCGTTAAATAAATGAATATAGACTATAATATGAATATAGAATTAATATACTTGATATTCTGTCGAATATTTTGAATAGAATATCATATACTAGTATGAAGTGATATTTGATTCACAATAAGAATTTGTCGCGGAAATCAGGAAAAATAACTTACGTTCTACTAAACATATACCGGGAGTTCCATGGAAAAGAACCTTTAGTGAGAATTTTTAAGCAAATAAGTTGTATTTTGTTTTGTATGAAATTTGTGAATTTTTAGAAAATCTGACAAAACTTTGCGTTACAGTAACAACGTTTATAAAGTACTGAAGATTAATATATTGAATATTGTCAAGAGAATTAGTCTAATCAAAGTGTATCTTTCTCTCTCTCTCTGTCTCTCTAATTATATTTAACATTAAAAAATCTTTGAAATACTTGAGTGAATTAAAGCAAGGGAAGATATGGTACTGCAGATAATCATTATAAGTCAGGGAGTATCATTGTTTGGGCAGCTTACCTTCTGTGAACATTTTCGGCACACTTAAGAATCTCACAAAACGTTGCGTTGCAATTGGGCGCAAGCTATTATTTCACGATTTAAAACAGAATGACATTTGCATAGTAACCGATAAAAATTAGATTTTATACGAAAAAAAAACGTACAAGACAGACGAAAAATCAAAATATCCTGCAAATAGTGATATTACGCTTAAGTCTTGATCAAAATTTTTCATTTCGGTTCACCAAGCCAACATTCACGAATGATGTGTAATACCCGCCTAATGCAAAGCCTTTTCCTTTTAGGGTAAACATACATGAATGTATACATTTTGTGTGTAGACAAGCACATCTAGATGTTTTAAATGATTATAAGACCTCTCAATATCTATAAAGAGTATTTATAAATTTGTAATAATTGATCATACTTAACATAATCCTCTAGATGATATTGTATGCATGATATTACAATACAATTTTTAAGTTAGTAGAAGGAAATATCGATCAAGTCGATAACGTCAAGAAGAAGATTGAGAGGAGAGGATTTATTAGAAACCTATGCTCAGCATATATCATGGAGATGATTGAAAGAAGATAACTTATGAGAAATTTATGCTCAGTATATAACGTCGAGACAATTGAAAGGTGATTACTTATGCGAAATCTATGTTTATTACATAACGTCGAGAAGATTAAAGGGAGATTACTTATGAAAAATCTATGCTCAGTATATAATTTGGAGACGATTGGAGGAGATTACTTATGAAAAATCTATGCTCAGTATATAATGTCGCGAGAATTGAAGGCAGATTACTTAGGAGAAATCTATGCTCAGTACGTTCAGTAAAGATTTTTAAAAAACTTGGTTTATTATTAATACTTATTGAATACGTTTACAAAGTTATAAAGTACGTCTACAAAGTTAATCGTTTACTGACTCGACGCTTCTTCTTTGCGCTAATTTTACCGAACATCTGTTTTTCTCTTTTGACATTTTCTGTCAGTTCGATACAGAAAAGTGCTGCCACAGTGTTGCTACAAAACTCAATCTCTTGCGCTCTCTTGTGGTGCATTTGTTATAAAGTTCAAAGATACCTTCAATGCTGGTCGCTATGAACAACAAATGATAAATTTGAACCACGCATTGATCGAGAAACGACCAGAATGGGCAAGAAGACACGGCAAGGTAATTCTGCTCCATGAAAATGAGCAAAACGGGTTCAGGATGCAATCAAAACACTTGGCTGGGAGCTGCTACCCCACCCGCCGTATTCACCAGACTTGGTTCCTTCCGACTACCATTTGTTTTCATCGATGGGACACGCACTGGCTGAGCAGCACTTTGATTCCTACGAGGAGGTCGAAAATTGGGTGTCTGGTTGGTTTGCTTTAAAAGACGAACAATTTTTTTGGCGTGGTATCCACAAATTGACAGAAAGGTGGTCAAAATGTGTAGAAAGCAATGGCCAATACTTTGAATAAAATGTTTCTTACTTTCCTATTAATAATTAGTGTTTTATTTTCACCAAAAAACGCTCATTTCATACCGGTACACCTAATAAATAAACTATTGATAATTAAATAAGTTCTATATATTCGATGTAGTATTAAGCAAAAAACTATAGAGGAAATTTGGACATATATGTTGCGATATTTCGTTTTATCGAAATGCAAAATCCATGTGAATAAACTTTATTTGTGAATACAGTAATTTTAGATTAAATATAATCAAACTTTAGAGGTAATAATAATGAAATGTTATATATTTCAGTTGCTTTCATTTGAAAAACATTTATTGCAATATCATAGCGGAAAATATGTTTGTTTTGCTGAGCTTTGCGACCATTATTCCAAGAATGTCAAAAGATTTATGTGTGCTCAGCGTCTATACACTGGAAGATGTGAACTCCGGTACATGCAGCTGTACTCTGCGAACTGGTCTATTACTTTGGCTCCACGAAAAATGCTATTTCTGCAATAATTAATACATACTGCATTGTTGTGTAGAGCATTGACTGTACTTCGCGTTGCCTTACAAAACTTTTGCCAAATTTCTATAGTGCTCCTAATAAATTTTATTCAAATAGGATACGATACATACTACTTAGGGACCTGCACCCAGAATGTGCACGCAAAATTCTGTGCAGAGTACACTAATGTGCAAATACATGGTCGCCATTTCTAGTGCAAGTGGCGAGCCAAATATTCGCATCCCTATAGTTCCGAAAATACAAAATGGTAATAAATAAAAATTGTTACCCATATTTTTGTTTTGACTTTTGAAGCCATACCGAATTCACATTTCACTGTACCAAAAAGTAGAACTTTGCATTGAGTAACTTCTTCATAGGAGGAAGGCATACCCATTCATTTTTGTGTGTTGCGCTCCGAAATCCAATTTTTTAAGCTTTTTTAATATGGCAGTTTTCTATAAATTGGGTTGACTGCTTTGTTGCCATTGGAAAACAAAGAGGTAGGAGGAAGCGGTACTTCAGTCTGAAAACTGTAAAGTACACAGAACTAACCAATTTCCAAAAACATAATTCAGTTACAGTTTTTTTCTCCTACTTTAAGTAAGTTGAAGTAGAAGTGAAACCAGGTTTATTTTGGAATTTGTGCATTTTCAGGAACTAGTAGTTAAGATGTATTTGATGTATTTCAATTCTTATAATAAAGGGAATTTAAAAAAAAAAAAATTAAAAACAAATAAATTTGCAAGAACTAAGGTTCGTGTCCACGAAAAGAAACATGGGTCTTGTCTTCCATCATACGTTTAAGTTGTTAATACTAGGTTGGAGTGAAGAACATTTACAATGAGTCTTCAATTTAATTTTTCAAGAACCAAGAAGTAATGGTAAAAATCTGCATCTTGAAAACTTATAGATGTTTTTTTTTCTATATAGACCACGGATTTCGAATTCCTCTACAGAAAGTAGTCCATCAGCATTAGATAACATGATTTCGATAGCCAGTCAACAGAGTTTTTTGGGAAGATTATATTATATAGTAGTCAAATTTAACAATACAGCCATGTGATTGCATTATTGGAAACAAGAAACCATTCAATATGGCTAGATGATGTAATGTACCAGCATATATTCGAAATTGAGGAAGAGACACCCCAATAAATCGTTAATTCTGATCACTACAGCTACAGCCACATAATTGTCATTTAATATTTAGAGTGAAATTCGAGATATAGATGTGAAAGATGTGTAGCCAAAACCCACGTAACATGTCCTATTTTGGTATCGTTGCAAGAGATATTTTCGGAAATCTAACTTTAGGTTTTTTGACAAGGTCATGCGATGTCTTCAAATGGTTTTTTTTATAGCTACGTAAATTATAGTGTTTATGCGGACAATTAACGAGCTTTCAATGCTTTGAAATCGAGTATCATATCCCAGCTATTGCCAACTGCATAAGGAAATTCCGACTGCCATGGGTTGATGATGTAGTTTAAATGCCATATGAAAAGGATATGAATGAAAGGCAATAAATGAAAGAAAAGACTAAAGAATATGGAAGCAGATAATTAAAACATTTAGGAGGGTGACAGGGAAATTTAAGCCAATGATATGAAAAGTAGTGGATTGAAGTTGTATGGCCGGCTTAGTTTTCCAACACCAAATATGCTGTTGTTATTTATTACAATCATAATGTTCGTAAAGTTTAAATACCAAAAGAATATTATTTTTATCATATGTATAACGTTTATTGATTGTTTCTTCAAATTAATACCAACTTTATATTATAATTAATTGCATAATGAAAAACTGAGTGAAAATATTTATGTTACTAAACGTGGTCCAATGTTCATTGCCATAAGTTCTTGAAATAGTAGTTTGGCCGCATAAGGTAAACGTATTTGAGAGACTTGAGACCTATTTCTACATACCCGACAATCAAAACTACTATTGCGTTGATTTGCAATTACCATTAAACCACAATATTTACATACGAATACTTTATACGGATCAGAAGCGGTATACAGTCGCTCATGCAGAAACTGCGCTGTGCCGTGTGAAATTTGGCAATCACGTTCCATTTCACCAAAACGTAAACCACCACCGCGTGCTCTACCATCCATTGGTTGCCGAACTAAAATTTGCACGGGTCCGCGAGAACGTGCATGAATTTTGTCTTCCACCATATGTTTAAGTCGCTGATAGTACGTTGGACCTAAGAACACCTGCAATAAAATTTCTTAATTCGATGCATAAATAAACAAGTGAATGCTACGTACATGCGCCATTATTTTTCGACCAGTGAAACCATTAAACATTACTTCGTTTCCACGTCCATTATACTTATACTCCATTAACAAATTTGAAATTTTTTCCACATTAACCGCATCATTAAAAGGCGTAGCATCTCCAAATTCCCCCTTCAATGACCCGAGTTTTCCTATAGAAAAGAAAAATGTTGTAATTTCAATATTTTCTTTTAATTTCGCAAACCTTGTAAACATTCGATTAAATGTCCAATTGTCATACGAGATGGAATAGCATGAGGATTTATGATAATATCGGGGGTAATCCCGTCCTTTGTAAAAGGCATATCTTCGTGCCGATATTGAATACCGCAAGTTCCTTTTTGGCCATGACGAGAAGCAAACTTGTCGCCAATTTGGGGAGAGCGAACAGAACGTATACGAATTTTACAAAACTTATATCCCTCATTGTTTAAGGTCAGTAGTACTTGATCAACATACCCAGTTTCTGTCTTTCGAAGAAATGTTGACGCATCACGTTTAGTAAAACGAGGTATTGTGTCACCAAACTAAAAATTAGTATTTATTTTATCTCTTTCATTATAGTTATTATTTTATGTTTACCTCTTTCTCAGTCGTTATTATTGTCATAGTTTTGCCTATAATTGCATCATCACCTGACACTCGAACATCAGTTCTAACAATGCCATCAATTTCTAATTTATCGTAGAAACCAGGTCGCATTGATTCACATGACCTTCTAAATGGTTTTTCAAAACGTTCTTCATGTTTGTGTAATACCCTATTTTCTGTGTCCTTGTAGGAACGGTAAAAGACAGAACGGAAGAAACCACGCTCTATAGCTGACGAGTTTAATATAACAGAATCTTCTTGATTATAGCCGGTGTAGCTTAAAATAGCTGTAATTGCATTAATACCAGCAGGAAGTTCACTAAATCTTAAATATTCCATTGCACGTGTTGTTACTAGCGGTTTCATTGGATAATAAAGTAAATGGGCTAATGTGTCCATGCGGACGTGATAATTGGTTATATAAACTCCCATAGCTTGTTTACCCATAGCACTTTGATAAGTATTACGAGGACTTTGATTGTGATCAGGAAAAGGAATTATTGATGCACAGACACCTAAAATCATAGCTGGATGGATTTCACAATGTGTATATGGAATAATAGATAAAACATTTTCAGCGCGTAAAAGATTACTTGGAAACATGGCTATCATTGTAGTTTCTTCTTCCAATGTATCGACATATTCTACAGCACCCGATGCTATCAATTTTTGCCAATTGTAATCATTATAAAAATTATTCTTCAACATATTTATGTGCCACTTTCTAATAAGCAGTTTGTTTTCTTGTACAACTAGAAGTGGCCGGCATATACGACCTGCTTCAGTATGTATTCGAATTTCACGGGAGACTGGTTCGAGAATAATTGATACCTCGCTCACAATAACATCCATTTTCCGCCGCAATTTACGTAATGTACATATAAGCTCATCTGGATCCCTATGTACTCCAACCCAGCAACCGTTAACAAATATCTTAGCAGTGTAAGTTAAAATTGATGACGAGATTTCTTCCAAATTTTCCATACCCCACTCCTCCAAAAACTCAAGTATTGGCGTTGGTTCTGAACCAACAGATATATATGCCATTAGTGCTAAATTTTTAACTAAACCAACCGCTGCACCTTCTGGAGTTTCTGCTGGACATAGTACACCCCAATGTGTGTTATGCAGCTGACGAGGTCTTGGTAATTTGCCATCGCGACCAATTGGTGCATTTACTCTACGTAAATGCGATAAGGTTGATGCATACGTTAGTCGATTCAATACCTACGGATATTTGAAATTACAATTGATTTTATATTCTTTGTTAAACAATAAAAATTATTGATCATTACACAAAGTGCACTACTTTAATTGTTACCAACCTGGGATACTCCAGCGCGTGACTGATGTGCTTTCTTTTGGTCACCCCAATTGCCAGTAGCCAGCGAATAACGTAGTCCATCTGTAATTATATTTGTCCTGATGGATAAATCGAACTGAAAACCTTTTCCACGGTTTAGAAATCTTTGTGCAAATGATCGAACTTCCTTAATTAAATTTCTAAACAATCCTCGAAATAGGAAAGACAATAACGGACCTGCAAGGTCTAAGCGTTTGTTCCCTAGAAATCAAGTAAAATTTATTTATTGTGCACAGAACTATATGGGCTTGCTTTTCTAATACCATAATGATCACGATCATCTGTTTCAGCTCTCCCTAGTGCAGCCATCATTAAACGGTGGACCATATAACCTAAAAAAAATGATTTCTGCGTTCCACAGTATTCGGAAATGCCAACATGTGGCAACATTTCCCTTGTCACGATGTCTTTTGCATAAGACACGCGTTTTTCTATAGTTACACCTGCTGAAGCGCCGCGGGACCCAATGAATCCAAGAGCAGTTGTTTGATCTGGTATTACATAAGCATCACTTAAGGATGCTTTTATCATTTCTATCACTTCTATGTCTTCGAAATCATAAATCATACGCTCAAGTATATCACGATCGTCTATAACACCCAACGCTCGAAAAACTATCACTATAGGAATTTCCTGTTTTATGTATGGAAGCACGGCTATAATTCGTCGGCCTACACTTTCTTTTAAAACACATCTTGCATTGCGGTTCAACATATTGACATATAAAGTTGATGTAGGTCTGAGGGTGTGTTCTAAACAGGAACGAATTTCACATTTAAAGCAGTATTTGCCGTCTTTAAGAGCGAACACATATATTGTGTTTGTAGCCATTTTTTCTTGTGCAATTATTACTTTCTCGGAACCGTTAATTATGAAATATCCACCTGGATCTAGTGGACATTCATTTAATTCTTGTAAATCTCGATCTGACATGTGTGACAACAAACAGTACGATGAACGCAACATAACTGGAATTTTTCCTAAAAATGCTTTTTTATGTTTTTTGAGGCAAGGAATATCGTCGGGGTATTCTCTTGTTTCTAACACATCAACATATATTGGCGCTGAGTAAGTTAAGTTCCGCAAGCGAGCTTCATTAGGCATAAGCGGTCCAGGTGAACCATCTTTTTCCCAATGAGTTGGCTTAGATATATATATTTGGCCGAATTTGATTGAGAACTTTGGCTATAAAAAAAATTTGAGTAATGAAAATGCACAGTATAAAGTGAAAAATATTCTATAGAGACTTTACAAATATTTTACATATACTTTACAGATACTTTACAGATATTCTACAGACACTTAACAAATACTCTACAAATACTATGCATATACTTTACAGACGCTCTTTACAGGTACTTTACAGATACTCTACAAATACTCTGCAGATATTTTACACATATTTTACAGATACTCTACAACTACTTTACATATACTTTATAGATACACTACAAATACTCTACCGGTACTCTAAAGATATTCTACAGAGACTCTACCGACATTCTATCTACAAATTGAAGAGTATCTACCTAAAAATAGAAGAGTATCTGTAAGCAAAAATGTTGCTATTATCCTAATGTTTGTGAATACCGAAACTTGGTTATTCGGTTTTAATTTTGCATTCAGTAATGCAAGAGTAAAATATTTTTTAAAAAAGAGGATATATACCATATATTAATATTAGATCCAATAAGGGAAGAAAAAATATATAAAGGGAAAAATGCTATTATTATTGATGTTATGATGAAAATGTAAAATTTGATTACTTAGTATCAGTTTTGTATCAAATAACAAATTGTGCTTAAAATTGAGAATCTATATAAATTAATATTAGATCCAATTGATTCATAAATGGGACCTACAAGAATATGTAAGAATAGCTTTTCTAGTTAATGTGCATGACATTGAATTGGAACTTGTCCATCTTTTTAACTAAATTTTTTTAGGAATGAAGCTATTATTTGCATTATATATAATATTTTGTAAGCAAAGAGAGTTAGTATATATTATTCCATGATAGAAAGGGTTTGAATAATCTCAAACGACATGACTATATGGTGCCATATGGTATAAAGTGATCAAAATATTTCTTACAGTGAAATAAAAATTTTATCAAAATATTATTTTGCGTATTATAGTGAATAGTGATAAACTAGTAAAAATCCATAAGGTCGAATCAATATCATGTGTACTATTCATGAAATAAGATATTAATGCCTTTATAAAAATTGCTGAATTGGAATGGCCAAAGTAAAATCAGTACTTATGCTGTAAATTATTTTTAAGAGAATTCATCGAATGCTTTTGTTTTTGGATTAATTAGCCAAAAAAAACTTTCTCCATTGATGTTTCGAAAATTATTACCATTGGGTCTGTAAAAAAATTTTCATGTTGTGCTTCCGGTTGAATTTCAATTGAAGGTGATTGTTCTACAATTTGTTGCACAGATGTTTGAATAAATTCATCGAAACTATCCAACTGTTGACGTACCAGGCCTTTCTCATCAAAGTAGGCATTAATGACAACCCAACATACTTCTTGCCACACTTCATTCGTCAGGTGTACGTTCATTTCATCATCACACAGATCCTCTGCAAAAATAATTACAAATTTAAAATTATTTATAATATAGTAATACCTTAATAGATATATAATGAGAAGTTTTTGTTTTGTTTTTAAACATATTTAAACAGATGTCGAACACTAAGCAGATGTGTTAGATATCTGCAGATGTACCTTCTGCTCAAAAAGTACTCGAATTTTGTAAATAAATTTAAATTTTAGCCACAAATTTAAATTTTATTCCAAATTTATTTTATCTCCTTCAAAATACGTTCCTTCTGAAGTGATACACATATGTCAACGCCTTAATAATCATCACACCTAAATTTTTTCAAAAATTAGTGTACCTACTGCTCAAAAAGTATCCGGATTTTGTTGTTTGTTAACTATTCCTCAAGTAATAGACCTTTTTCAAACAATTTATTTTTGTTATATTATCAAAAAAACATATGGTACAAATTTGAGCGCCATCTGTCAATTAGTTTGTTTACAGCAACTGTTAATGTGAGACTACCTCAAGTGCATTTACCGATTTTTACTATGGAAAATTCTTGTTGTACGCGATTTTTTGACCAAACACGGCTGTCAACACCACTGTCATCGCTCAGGCACCATATTCGCCAGATCTGGATCCGTGCGACTTTTTCCTGTTCCCAAAACTCAAATTGCCCCTTCGTCGTTTTGAGTCGATTGAATCAGTAAAAGAGAATTCGACGAAGGAACTAAAAGCCATACCTGCACAGGCCTACGTAAAGTGTATGGAAGATTGGGTTAAGCGTTGGCATATGTGTATCGCTTCAGAAGGAACGTATTTTGAAGGAGATAAAATAAATTTGCAATAAAATTTAAATTTGTCGCTAAAATTTAAATTTATTTACAAAATTCGAGTACTTTTTGAGCAGAAGGTACACTGTAACTTATAATATTATAAATATATATATTAATTAAATATAAAACATTAAGTTTTATTCGTCAATCCTTTAGATAGATCATAATATCGTTACCACTGGCTTATAGTTTATGGAATACAATTTCAAATTTTAATGTCAAAAGATTTTTTTATCTGAAAGTGATGAACATCGAGAAAAAATATTGTACTTTTGCATAATATATATACATATATAGGTATAGTATATATACTTCACTCAATATATAGTAAAGAAGTATATAATTATATAACTTTGGATAAGTTAGAATAGTATAATATTCAATATAAAGGAGATCTGAAGAATGTTGCTTTATATGAAGTCATTAACAGCATAGGACTGTCTAAATTTAAAACTCTTGTTTCCCAAGTGAATGTTTCTAACGTTTCTGATAAAGTTTTAGGACTGTTGATACGAGTAGGACAACAATTTCATATGGCAAACTAACGCACATTGGTCACAGTAAATAAACCAATGTTGGTTTCAGGAATGAAATATTTTTCAGACGTTGTTGAAAATAAAAAATTCCAATCAGTTTCCAAACAACTTTCAATAGATACGCGACCCTATGGATCGTATATATTTCATCTTTAAATATGACTACGTAAAAATTCAACACAGTTTTACCTCATTTGTTTATGGTATATTAGAAGCGGAAACAAGTTGTGTTTTGACATATTCAAGCGTGAAAAGGATTTCTGTGTGCGACATGCTTTCCTAAAAATGGATGAATAATGACTCTATTAAAGGTCATCCTAAGAAAAGCTGAGTCTATGACCTACGGAATATGAATGAGTAAGCTCTTGGTTACTAGCGGGAGCACAGGAAAAAATCCTACAATCCTTACAAGTGAAAATTGTCAATCGATTCCAAACATAAACAACTAGAGGAGTTTCTTTTTTGCTTCTCCCATAAATATTCTGAACAAAAATAGCTATAAACTGAACATGTATAACCATATAAATATAATAGTAACAAAACGTGTCCCTGCCTCCATTACTATTTTGTAGAGACTAATCATTAGACATTGAAAAAATTTACAATATTTGTGCTTAATAGTTATGGCATTTGTGTAATATAACATACACTATTAACTATAACATATATGGACTGAATATGGACTTAGCTTACTGATCCATTGGTTTTAAAAGAAAATGCTTTGTTTTTGCCATACCTATTTCTTCAATAAAAAGTGAAGTTTATTTGTAGCGCTCAATTTAATTATTAAAATTAGAGAAAAAAGTATTAAATTCTTTTTGTCGCTCTTGGTTGAAATATGTGAGAGAAAGCTGTTATGTGCAGACAAAAGCTTTTTAAAAGCTATGATTATACCTACTTTGGAAATAGCTTTAAAGAGAGGGAAATAATAGCGATTTTCAACTTATGTGTGAGTTTATGATAATATAATTCGATATATAAATATAAAATTCGATTGCATACAATAATTATTTACTGAAACTCGACATACTTGTTCGGGGTTATTAAATTTGTGATACATATTTTGTATATTTTATTTTGGCAAATACTTATATCTGGTGTTACAAAATTAAATGAGAAGAGAGGAAGAGCCATGTTATACAGAAAGTTATTTTCAAATTATAAACGAAATTGTCGTTCTTTCACTGTAAATTATTTTTAACAGTTTCAGAGAGCAATTTCGATTAAGCTTTTGTAACAGTGACTAGGCATTTTGTGTTTTTGGTCAAGAGATAGAGCTTTCCTCACTGTGAGTGAGCTACTACTGTGTGTGTGTGAATTTAATATATATATATATTACTTTACTTGAAGTTATATTTGATTCTAAAGTACTATACATATTGTGTAATAGACTACCAAAAAAAATTTGATGAGGCTCAAAAAACACGGCTTCTGTTGTGATTAGATTCACTTTATTCTACAAGTAAAATAATGCGACGGATAATATTTCTGAGTCAGTTAAATAAATTATAAAGCATATATGTATTATTATATAGTATTTTCTGACTAAAATACGTTTGCTCATTTAATATATAAAACATTTTGAAGTAAAAATTTTGAGAATAGAAACGACAGAAGACGACCTCCCTTCGATTTTGTAAACATATTTTTAGGTAAATTCAAAATTCTATAACTTACCGCAAACAGAATCGTCAGACATTTTAAATAAGTAAAATTTTTATAAACAAAAAGGAAAAAACACTTTTATAAAATTTCTTATTACAAAAGAAACTTGCACTTCCGCTCGGTTCAACCTATTTTCTAACTCTAATTTCTGTCACAATGACTTTTAGAAAAATATCGTCAAATGTCAAAGTAGTTGGTATTTGATGAGTACTCGATTAAATGGGTTTACATTAGTTAATACTAATTATCATTTTATTATAAAATCTGTTTCAATTAGTTATTATTTGTACGGAAGCGTTTGAGTTGAAAATAAATTGTTATGTGGAAAAAGGAAAAAATTAATTTTAGCTGTTAAATTCGGTTTATTTGATATTCGAAAAATGAAATTGAATAAATCCGTCAACTTTATAAATCCGGATCAGTCAAACTTATACTTAATGGTCTATCCATTTATTGGATATCAACAGTAAGATAAAAGTTATTAGTGGTGGGTTGTTTCAAAAGCCTGAAATGATGCGATCGTAAGAACTTTGAACTCATGATGTGTTCATTATTTGTGACTTAATAAAAACTATTTGATCTTATTCTGATTGCTTAACTCTAACTTCTCAATTGACAGTAAGGTTAATAAAGTATTATCTATAGTTGCAGTCACAACTACAACTAGAAGCTGATTCAAGAACCAGTTAGGTATATGTTAATGAATTCCTTAATTTGATTGATATGGGGCTTTTAAATCTGTCATGGGGTGCTGAGTGTTTGATTAGTAGTATTTCATATATTGCTAGCTAGATAAAAGTTTGCGGAAAACACTAAGTTGCTGTACTTATGCCAATTGGTTTTCCTAGGCAAGAAAGAAAAAATTTTAACTAGATTTGATACAACTTAATGTTTACATGTTATTTTAGTTTATGGACTGTTGTATATATGGCAGTTGTATTCAGTAGCGTCAGCTTTTTGGCAAGGTGTTCACAATTTGATCAAAATGGAATTCCAACTATAACGTATTCCCCCTACTCCTGAATTTTGTCCTTTCCACAAGCAAATAGCGTACAAGACCAACAAAACAATTTATTTAAATGTTCGCAGCCTATGATCCACTGGTTTTTATAGTAAATAGCTGTAGGAAAACGGTGACTTACCACACATTTCGACATTTTTACATCAGGTATCAAATTCTTCATATCTGGAGTTGGTCTATTCATTTTATGAATTAAAATCTTTTTTCAGAAGATCGTTTAAAAAAAGATATAAAAAGATTTGAATCAAATCTTTAATCACACATTAATCCATTTCTAAATATTATTTTTCACTTCAAATTTCTTTAATTTTTTTCTTTACTTTTACCATTTGCTAGTGTAAGAGCAAATAAGAGTTTTTAGTGTAAGAGTTTCTTACTCTACATAAGAGTAATAAACTCTTATGCATTCTTTTACTCTTTTACTTTGTATTTACTATGCGCGGTTCAGTTTTTTTACTGAACCATTTCCTCATATAAACCGTGCCTTTGATTGTATTTACACGCTTTGTATGAACTTGGGGTTCAGTTAAGGCGACTAAACCTCTAGTCAAATGTAAAGCGATTTTCGCTCAGTCATTTCTTTTCTCTTTTGTATTTACTTTGCATAACATTGGAGGTTCACTTTTTTTATTGAACCGCTTGCACGCATTAATTTAAGAGTTATGATTATTTTACGTACATATTTTGCGGGGCTTGTTTTCTCTTTTATTTTAATATTTGTTTGTATGTTTTGTGTTTATTCAATATTGAGCATAGTCCCAATGTGAATGTTGTTTCATTTGCATGCTTTGTAATCAGCGCGGTGCAGTTTTTATTCTGAACCTTAGTATATTTTAAGAGGAATGTGTTTTCTCTTTTATTAATAATAAGTAATGTTGGGTGTAATTACATATGTATGTATGATTTTGTTTGTATTGTACGTTTTGTTTCTGGTTGTATTGATTTTGATGAATTTTCGTATGTTGTCGGATAAGTTGATTTTGTAAGGAAGTGAATTAGTCAAGCCAATCATATATGTAAATTTATTGCATCAAAATTAGGTTTAGTTTTGCAGTGTGAATAGAAAGTTAGTCATGATATCTGTATAAGCTGTAATTGATTCTCCCACCACTATAAGAAAATCGAAAATTGATCGAAAATACCTTTTAGTTTAAATACCTTTTTAGTTTATTAAATTTGGACGAAAATAAAACGTATCAAAAAATATCTGGCATTAACTGAAATCAATATTAAATATATAATGAAACTAGAGGATAACTCTATAATACAATTTAAACTACAAATGTTGGTTTAATTTTCCCTGATACTTATCTTCTATTCTTTGCAATTGTTTCAATAGAGCACTTCTACTTTGGTGTTTTGGTTTTGAAATTTCGCGTATTTCCGAAAAACAGTTTAATTGAAGTATTCTTAAGTAAAGCTTTTGATGCCATGTTATCAGATCTAATCTTTTTCGAAAGTTTTGCTTAGTGCTTTGCGTATTATATCTATATTTCTCAGAAACTTCGCTTGCAATTAACGCACTCCTTCTGTCCAATTCGAGTATAAAGTACCGGGATATAGTAGTAAACAATTTGTTCTCTAAGTCCCTTAAATTTTTCGCAAAATCCCTAACCGGAAAATCTTTAAAAAAAAGTGTTAACGCGTTTGAAGGTAAATTACTTTCTTCTGCGGATGAAGATATATGTAGTAATACACTTATTACAGAGGGTGTGAATATAGTCTTCATATCTCTGTAGTAATTTGCATAGTGATTATTAGTTGTTGCATATTCGTGCAGTTTCTTACTCAGTGTGTTATTTTCCATTTGTTTGTTTTTTATTTGATTGTGCAAAATCTTTTGTTTGCTCAATAATTGAATATGCTCAGTGGTTATATTGCTCGTTTTAGATTCTCTTGGAATATCTTCTTCCATTACGGCATTACTTTTTCTATTAAGGCAAACATTTTGTGGTTGAGACTTGGATTTCAGTTTTGAAATAGGTTCTTTTCTTGGTGTACACTGCATTTGCTCAAAAAAGTTAGCTTCTCGTAAAACTTCTACCAGGTCACGTCTGCAGTTTTCAATATTGGTGAATGGCAGCGCCAAATGATCGAGCTCTTGAAGCTGCATTTGTAGAAGTTCGCAGAGATTATTTCTTGCAAACTTGGTGTCCTTCGTACTTTTTGCTCTGTTAAAAGTAAAAAGCCACTTGCAGCAAATTTCGAATTCATATTGGTTTTCTCGTTGCAAAATTAAAGGGCGCAATGTTTTTACCTGATCATCATAGATTTCGTCTAAACAGTTAGCGCCGACTTCATGTTGAAAGTCTGTAATTTCACAATTGCAATAGATGCATTTTTTCACATTTTTTGAGTATTTGCTGAACATCATAATATAATATTCTTAATATACTAAAAAAAAAACACTTTTTTAAAAGTTTTATATATTAAGTCATGGCTTCTGTGACTAATTTTTGAAATGGAAACTTACTTCAATAGACAATTATTATTTGTGCTACACTTGCACCATTTACCGTTTATTGAGTAATTTTTTTTCAGTAGATAAACTAAAAGATTCATATGTATTCTCGTAATGGATCTATGTATAGGGTGATTTTTTTTTAACTGTATGAGAATGAGCGATGCCAATAACTATGATTGGACTGCTGAGAATGTCAAACTGTGTAGCCGCAGAACAGCGCAGAGCTCATTTCTGATTAAATGGTGCCAAAATTGCCGTATATGGAGTGAAGCCGTTAATAATCATTAAGCCGTTAATAAGTCACAATTAAATCCATTAAAATCGATAGTTTGGTGTAACTGGCGGAAACATTGGTCATTATTTCTTTCAAAATGAGGAAGAAGTTAGATAATCAGATAAACAATAGGGGTATTCAGCCAACTGATTCGTTGCTTAGTTGATTCAAAAACTTCATATAAAAAAAATTTAGCATTTTGATGTTAATCAGTTGCTTGAACGACCCAAAATGAGCAATCTGATTAGTTTGTTCTGTGTAAATGCCTTGGCAGCACTCGCGTCAACAGCAAAAGCGAAACATACGTTAACAGTGAAAATTGTTTACACTCAATTCAAACAGCAGAGATAGATAGCTAACAAATTTCTATACAAAAGTTCATTTTAAGTTATTATTACGACACTTGGGACTGGCAGCACTATTAATCAAATTTGTACTAATCTGAGAATCACCGAAATAGTTGATTCCTTGCTTAGTTTCATTTTTGTGTGCAAATTTTTGTTGTAATCAACTACTAAGCACCGAATCAGTTGCCTGAATACCCCTAATGTTAAATGAGACATTTGATTCCAACACGACAGCGCAACTTACAATGCAACGCGCTCAACAATCGCTTTACGTCTAAATCAATTTCGGAATAACCTTAATTCCAGAAGTGGTCCTGTTAACTAGTCATTTAACGCCTCTTGATTACTTATTATGGAGATATGTTTAGTAATTGTGTATATCGTCAAACCAGCAACTCTTGAAGCATTGGAAGCCAATGTTCATCCTACCATTGACGCCATACGGCTACATTTATTGCCGTCAAAAAAAAAAAATAGTCAAAAATTGAATTAAACGAATAGACCATGTAACTACTAGCCTCAGCGGACATATACCGGAAATATTAAAAAAATAAATGTCATGTAATTATCTACCAGATTATATTAAAAAAAATTTCATTCATTTATATTTTCTTTCAGAGTTGTAAAAAAACAGCATTAAGTCTGGTTGAAACCACTTGGCATCACTTTTGAAATATGTTAAATGCTTACATTTGACATATGTTTTTTCTTGTGTTGCGTGCAATATAAAAAATAAATATTTTAAGCATTAAAAATTAATTAAATAAAAGAAAATAAAATGAATATGGGAAGGACAATGGTAAGCATTCTTATCTTATATATTTAAATTAATTAATTTATTTATGTATTTGAATTTATGTGTGCTTATGCTTATATGCACATATGTAGATGCGTATATTATTTTAACAGATGACTGCAATTTTGCAGTATATCTCCAATGAACATTCACAATAGACTGATTTTTGAATTTGATTGCACTGAAATTTAAGACGTAAAATTTTTTGCGAGTAAAACCTAACTCTGAAGATTTTAAGAGCATTGTTGTTACTTCACATGT